AAGGGGCACCAAAATATATTAGACAGTTATTATCATCTCTGAAAACATATACTAAAGAAAATACATATATAGTGGGAGACTTCAACACCCCACTCTCACCAATGGACAGATCAACAAGACAAAAAAATAAACAAAGACACTAGAGCCCTAAATAAAGACATAGAACTCATGGACTTAACAATCTATAGGACACTGCACCCCAAAAAATCCCAGTGCACATTTTTCTCAAGTGCATATGGCTCATTCTCCAGAATCGATCACATAACTGGGCCACAAGACAAACATGAACAGATACATGAAAATCAAAATCATTCCAACTACCTTCTCCGATCATAAAGGCATCAAACTAGAAATAAATCATGAATAGAAAACAAGGAACCTTCCCACTTCATGGAGATTGAAATCCACACTACTGGAGACCACTGGACTAATGAGGAGATCAAAGAAGAAATTAAAAAATACTTTGAGTTGAATGATAAGGAGGACACCATTCTCCAGAATGTATGGGATGCAGCAAAAGCAGTAATAAGAGGAAAACATATAGCAATACAGGCTCACATCAACAAACAAGAAAGAACTCAAAGAAACAACCTAATCTCACATCTCAAAGAACTAGAAAAAGAACAACAAAAAAAAAAAAACACTAAAGCCAGTAGAAGAAAGGAAATAATAAAAAATCAATGCAGAAATAAATGAATTAGAAATTAAAAAAACAATCCAAAAGATCAATGAAACCAAAAGTTGGTTCTTTGAAGAAGTTAACAAAATAGACAAACCTCTAGCAAGGCTCACAAAGAAAAAATGGGAGAAAACACGTATAAATAGGATTGTGAATGAAAGAGGAGAAATCACAACAGACTCAGTAGAAATCAAAAGAATAATAAGAGATTACTATGAACACTTATACACAAACAAATTTAACAACCTAGAAGAGATGGACAAATTCCTAGAACGATATAATCATCCAAAGCTGGACAAAGGAAAAAATAAAACAACTAAACACACCTATTACAAGCAGTGAAATTGAAGCAGTAATCAGAGCACTCCCCAAAAACAAAAGCCCAGGCCCAGATGGCTTCACAAACGAATTCTACAAAACGTTCAGCAGTGAATTAGTGCCTGTCCTACACAAACCCTTTAAAAAAATTGAAAAGGAATACTACCAAATACGTTCTACGAAGCCAACATTACGCTAATACCACAACCAAACAAAGACGGCACAAAAAAAGAAAATTACAGGCCAGTCTCCCTAATGAACACTGATGCAAAAACCCTCAACAAAATCCTTGCTAACAGAATCCAACAATGCATCCATAACATAATTCACCATGACCAAGTCGGATTTATTCCAGGGACACAAGGATGGTTCAACATCTGAAAATCAATCAATGTAATCCAGCACATCAACAAAAAAAAATATAAAAACCATATGATAATATCCATAGATGCTGAGAAAGCTTTCGAGGAAGTACAACACCCATTTATGATAAAGGCCCTTGAAATTCTCGGGATACAAGGAACATACCTCAACATCATAAAGGCCATCTATGACAAGCCCAGCCAATATCATTCTCAATGGTGAAAAGCTGAAAGCATTCCCATTAAGATCTGGAACAAGATAAGGATGTCCACTCTCACCACTGCTTTTCAATATGATACTGGAAGTCCCAGCCAGAGCAGTAAGACAAGAGAAAGACATACAAGGAATCCAAATAGGCAAGGAAGAAGTCAAATTATCACTATTTGCGGACGGTAAGATAATATACATAGAGAACCCTAAAAATGCCACAGAAAAACTAATTAATCAGTTTAGTAAAGTGGCAGGATACATAATCAACACACAAAAATCAGTAGCCTTCCTGTCTATACTCAAACAATAAATCTGAAGAAGAAGAAATCAAGAAAACCATTCCTTTTATTATTGAAACAAACAAAAAAAAATCAAATACTTGGGAATAAACCTAATGAAAGAAGTAAAGGACCTATACAAAGAAAACTATAAAACACTGTTAAAAGAAATAGAAGATGACACAAAGAAATGGAAAGACATCCCCTGCTCATGGATCGGAAGAATTAACATTATCAAAATGGCCATCCTACCAAAAGGAATCTACAGATTCAATGCTATTCCAATTAAAATTTCAATGTCATTCTTCAAAGAAATAGAAAAAATATTGATGAAATATGGAGCCACCAAAAACCCTGAATAGTCAAAACCCTCCTGAAAAAAAAAAAAAGGAGGGAATGTAGGCATCACTCTCCCAGATTTCAAACTATACTACAAAGCTATAATAATCAAAACTGCATGGTATTGTAACCAGAACAGACACATGGACCAATGGAACGAAATAGAAAACCCAGAAATAAACCCACAGATCCCTGGTCAACTAATCTTTGACAAAGGAGCAAAGAAAATGTACTGGAGTAAAGAAAGTTTGTTCAATAAATGGTGCTGGGAAAACTGGGTCGCTACATGCAAAAGAATGAAGCTTGACTGCTACCTCATACCGTGCATAAAAACCAACTCAAAATGGATTAAAGAACTAGACATAAGACCTGAAACCATAAAATATATAGAAGGAATAAATCGAAACACTACATGACATGCACCTCAAAGACATCTTTACAGATGCATCACCCAAAGCAGTGATGGTGAAGGCAAAGATAAACAGCTGGGACTACATCAAATTAAAGAGCTTCTGAACAGCAAATGAGACAATAACCAAAACAAAGAGAAACCCCACCAAATGGCAGAACATTTTTGCACCCAACACTAATGATAAAGGACTGAGCACAAAAATCTACGAAGAGCTGATGAGACTCAACAAAACAAAGAAAATAATCCAGTCAAAAAATGGGCAGAAGAGCTAAAAAGAAACTTCTCCAAAGAGGAAATGCAAATGGCCACCAGACATATGAAAAAATGTTCAACATCACTTGCAATCAGGGAAATGCAAATCAAAACTACAGTGAGATACCATCTCACACCAGTGAGAATGGCACATATTCAAAAAACTGGCAACAACAAATGCTGGCAAGGATGTGGAGAAAAAGTAACTCTCCTGCACTGCTGGTGCGAGTGCAAACTGGTCCAACCACTATGGAGAGCTGTGTGGAGATTCCTCATCCTACTAAAGATGGAGCTTCCATATGATCCAGCCATTCCACTCCTAGGTATTTATCCAAAGGACACAGAAACAATAATTCCAAAGAGCACCTGCACCCCTATGTTTATAGCAGCATAATTTACAATAGCTAAGCTTTGGAAACAACCCAAATGCCCAAAAATAGATGACTGGATCAAGAAGATATGGTACATATACACAGTGGAATATTACTCAGCATTCAAAAAAGATAAACATATGCAATTTGCAGCAACATGGATGGAGCTGGAAGGGATTATGTTCAGCGAAATAAGCCAGAAAGAAAAAGAAAAATAGTGGATGGTCTCACTCATAACAGGAATCTAGAAAACCTAAATAAGGGTCCAGGAAAAAGAATAACTGTAAGAGAAAGAAAAAAATTAAAATCAACAAACAACTATGAACCAGAGACACACTTTGGGGGTGGTGGGCAGGGAAAGGAGGATTGGGGTCAAAATCAGGGGGTTGCAATTGTATGGGGAATATAAAAATAATAAAAAAAAATTGAATTCTCATTTTTTGCAGTCATTTTTCATTTTATTTTGCTTGTAAATTGGCTTCTTTCCCTAGCCACACCTTCCTCAAGAAAAAAAGAAAAAAAATATTTCACAGTGCCTTTTTTGAAATGTGAAACTATACTAAAAAATGAGAATGTGGTGGTGTATGTTTTTGAAAAATTGTTTTGGAGAACTCACTGCCATGCGAAAAACTTACTGAACTGTGAGGGTAATCTCGGTTATATTATAGGGTACTTCCTCAGCAATTATGGAGATGTATATAGAATATTCAGTTGCATTGCTAATATTTAGACCTTAAAAATTTAGGAAAATCAATTCAAAATAAGAGTTTATGAATAACTGAATGGACAAAAATTTTGAGAAAATCTGTCATTTTTCAAATACTGTACCAATACAGTAGATTTAATGTTTATAGATATTGCTAAGAGAAATGAAAGATGTCACTTTGAAAACTTTGACATTTTTGACTAACCTTTCATTGGGTATAAATGAATTAGGCAAAAGTCACTTCAGCAAATGATATTGGTAAAACTGGAGATCCATATACAAAAATATATATAGTACACATAAACCAAGTATGGTTTCAAAAAATCTCAGTAAGGTGCAGTGTAGTGATAAAAGCATTCTTCAATGTTAATGCAGGGAAGAGATGTGAAGCAGGGAGCATAGTTGAAATGAAACAGCTTAAATTTTTTTTTTTAAACCGAGTAATGTTTTTAATTTTTTTTATTAATTTTTAATTTTTTTTTACATTGTTCATTTTTAAACTGTTTGCTTCTCCCCACCCCCTCAGGTGTAGTCCCCATAGAGTTTCCCTCACCAATGCACCCCTGCACCATCACCGCAGTTCCCTGTGCTCCTCCCTCCCTCGGATCCCTCTCCCTCCTCCTCCCCTACAGCATATCTCTGATTTATAATTGCCTTTGCTTTGTTTATAATTGTTTTTGCTTTGTTGTGTTTTGCACTGTTGTTATTTTTTTACACTAATGTCTTATTTGGTTCTCCTATATTCCTGCTATAAGTGAGAACATCTGATTTTTTTTCTTTTTTCTTCTGGCTTATTTCACTGAGCATAATTCCTTCCAGCTCCTTCCATGTTGCTGCAAATGGCATGAGTTTATCTTTTTTGATTGCTGAATAATATTCCATTGTTTATATATGCCACATCTTGATCCAGTCATCTATTTTTGGGCATTAGGATTGTTTCCAAGTTTTACCTGTTGTAAATAGTGTTGCAGTAAACATAGGGGTGAAACAGCTTAAAATTTCTAAATAAAGGGGAAAATTATCCTGTTGATATTGTGTGATAACAACTTACTCAGCTTTCATCTTTTGATAGAGCTCTCTAATAACCATTCATAGCCAGTTTTTGGCAACATTGGAATCACTGAAGCCATTCTGGGATGTTATGGATGAAATTGATGAGAAGACTTGGGTTCTTGAGCCAGAAAAACCTACACGGAGTGCCATAGCACGCAGAATTGCATTGGGTAAGGAAAAAGGAGTGAGGTATTTTTTTATTGGCAGTGTTTTCTACTTTGTGTTACATAAGAAATGAATGTAAACATGACATTGAGATCTTTTTGCATGAAGTTAACCACTAAAACTTTTTGGGATGAACTCTGACTTGCTACTAAGTACGTAAAGGTAAATAAAAGCACTGAGATGTTTGAACAGGCAGTGATTCACTGGAAATAATATTCAGAAATAGTAGCTACCTTTTAATTGGCACAAAAATGGTGAAGCAGGTTTTTCAAAACTTAAATTAGGGAGAAAATGATGTCAGAAATAATGTTTTCATTCTTGAAACTAGAAAACATTATTATAAACATATCTGGGAGTATTTTTCTGACACAAATATAGAGGATGAAAGAACCTGAAGTGACTAATGCATGCCATTAAGCATTGACAGGTATATATTAATAAAGTAAGATTCTAAATGTTTGTACTTTACACTAAATATTGTAGTTATAAAACAATTAAGACACAAAAAAAATTTCACCTTTTTCTGCATTTTGTTCTAGCCAAATAAGTAAGCTGTTGGAAGGCTTGTATTCCAAAGTATATTTTAATTTTGAGGTGAATCATATCTAAATTAGTGAGCAGTGTTTATATTTTCTACCCATGCAAAATAGGTTATCTGGGGGCAAAGAAGTGACGTGTTATTATGAGAAAAAATATAGTTGTGCAGCAGTTCTACAAAAGTGTTGTTACTGACCCATTTTGAAAAAGTTTTACAGTATTTAGTTTGAAATAATTAACTAAATTATGGTATATTTGTGAACAAGTAGATTTAAACAGTATTTCCTTCAAAGTGTAATTAATTTCAGTGCCCCATTAAAACAATTATTTTTATCAGATTATGGCTAAGTATGTGTTTACATTTCTCATTGTTCAGCATAAACAACCTAGCTTTTATTTACTGTTTACCTTTTAGCCCTTTTTTTTTCCCTTCAGACACTTCAGACAGATGTGCCTTTTTGAGGATCAAGTTTTCAGCAAGTTAATTAAAATATTAGTTAATATGGCCATTGTTAAGTGAAAGTATTTTCTTAAGTCATTTGTATATCATATTGCTAAAGATTAAAATGGAATTTGTGTTATGGTAAAGAGTATACTAACAAAATTATCCATTAGCATTTTATATTTTGCTTTTCTCATTGGATAGCTTGAAGTCATTCTATTTTCTTGATTATCTTTTTTAGCCAGATCTGCAAAAATTGTATTTATACTGTTGCCAACTGTCCAAAAAAAAGGAGAGGGGGCTTATAGTGTATAGAATTAGCAAGATATTTTTGCCATAAAAATGAAATCCAAATCGAATATACAGTGTATCTTCACTAGTAGAATTTCTGAAATTTGCATTATAGTCCAGAACAGTTAAATTTTATAAAAGAATCTAGTACCAAGTGGAAATAGCTCTTTCTTAGATTTTACAAAGTATGTTAGTTGTTATCAATTTAATAGTTTATACCTTATTAAAAATTAAACTTGTTAATTTATAGGGGAAAGCTTCACATGGAACAAAAAAAATCAGAAATATGTTTATACAGCTTGAATCTTAAGCATGTTTATTTTTAGTCTTTTTTATTTACCATAGTATAAAACCGTTTCAAGAAATTCACAAAAATTAAGATCATTTCTTAAACTTCTGATTTGTGATAATTTTTAATTGAAACTAATAGAATTCTGACCAGAACTCTAAGTTAATTGTATTATCTTAAGGATTGTCTTTTTCGTTTTTAAACTTATGCTGTCTGATCATATATTTGTCTTTACAAAAACCTATAAAATACTTGCTTAACCTTTCTTTGGGATACAATATGTACCTAAAGAGATACTCCTTTATTTTTTGACAAAATGTTCTACTTCTAAAAATTCTAATTTTTTATTTTAGGGACTAATGCGTCAATAAACATAGAGGTAGATCCCAGGCATCCTACTATGCTTCCTGAGTGTTGCTTTCTTGGAGCTGACCATGGTATTATTACACCTCAGATTTCAATGTTTTTGATAGAATCATACAATTCATGGCTACTGCTGTTAAAATATCCTAAAGTATTAACATATTGATGGTAATTACTTTAAATGAAAATGTCTCATTTTGTACTTTGTGAGTTAGGCTTTCTGATCAAGTATTTAAGAAACTTTATAGCTAACAATTTATATTGTATATTTAAAAGTTGCTGAGAGTAGATCTTAGTAGTTCTCGTAAGAACATTATAACTATTTATAGTGATGGATTTTAACTTATTGTGATAATCATTAGTAGTACACCTACACTTGTTTTAAGTCCATTGAGTCTCAATGAAAAAAAAAAAATGTGCCAATGCAAACCCTGTTTAAATTGTTAAACTTTTATTAAGTTTAATTAAACTTTTTTTTCTTTTTAAAGTGGTAAAACCCCTGGGAATTAAGCTAAGCAGAAATATACATTTGTGGTAGGTATCTTTGCAATAGAATTGTTACTTTTCTATGACTTTACAGGTTTAATAACAGAAAAAAAATCTTTTACATGCTTTCAGGGATCCAGAAAATAGTCTGTTACAAAATTTGAAAGATGTTTTAGAAATTGATTTTCCAGCTCGTGCTGTCCTGGAAAAATCTGTAAGTTGTATCAGTGCTTTGATAATTCAAACCTGCATTGCATAATGAAAGTTAAGTGTTATTTTAGGCATGAAAGGAAAATGAAGCAGGGAACTGGAGGAAAATTTTAACAGACTTTTGAAACACAGGCAAGAGTTGCATCAAAGAACTTGTTAACCTCTGATTGTGGTTATAAGTGTACTTTTTCCATGGCCTTAGTAGCAGTAAAGAGATAAATGACAACCTTATTATTACAAATAAGGGGAAATGCCCAAAGTAGCTAATGACATGTTTGGATTTTGTATATTATTGGAGTGTAGATAACTGAAATACAATTCTAGTTAGCTTCATACAGTGTATGTGAAGAGTGGAAGTTCAGTTTTTCAAAATTAGACACCTACTGCATACCCAAAATAATAAATAGCATTGAATTTTGAAAAAACTGCTAAAGTTGTAGACGACTAAAGTGGGGATGTTTTTACATTTACAGAATTTTAAAGTGAAATAATCTTAAACAAACATCAGTTCCTATCTTTACATACTATTAGGCATTATATTGATGTACAATAGTGGAAAATTTTCACCTAAATACCCTGTGAGCCAAAATGGTGTGAAAAGGGAAGTACTTTTTTAAAAATAACTTTCATAGGTTGTTAAATAGTGAAGATGTGGTTTTATTTTTCTATAGTATAGCAGTATCCTTTGTAAAGACTATAATTATTTAATAGTGTCTGTGCAATAGGTTTTTGTTTTTTTTTTGTCATTATATGTCTTAAACACACGTGCTTATATTTTTCTTTAAGGATTTTTCTATGGATTGTGGAATTTGTTATGCCTATCAATTTGAAGGTACCATTCCTGATCAAGTGTGTGATAATCCCCAGTGTGGACAGCCTTTCCATCAAATATGTTTATATGAGGTAAAAAAATGGTATAAAAATAACAGCAAGACTTGTTTGAACTAATACAACAAAGGAAGTCTGCATGTGAATACAGAATCTTTTTTAGTCAGTAGTGATCCCTTAGCCATTAAGGCCTTTCCCGTTTCATCACAGATGTTTATTTGCTTCATCGTGGTTACTAATGAATACAGAAATGTTCTAATGTGTCTAGACTATATTCATGGACTATATTATGCCATTGATGCATAATAAATTGATGTACATTGGACTCTTTCAGTAAACATCTGCTATAACCACATGCAAACTTTGTAGTCTGAAGTGGGAGTGGGATACCAGTAAGGTGAAAGGTAACTAGTATATGGAGTATACCTATTACTTTTCAAGCTAGATTTATTGTAATAATTCTATTTTTGATATTGAGAAGAATGCACTTTGTGATCTAAATTTCTCAGTACTCAGTGTTTTATTTACTATTTAATATTGTGAAGTCTTCATTTCTTTAATCATTTGGCTTATATAGCATTCATCTTAGGGCACAGTTGACATAATTGAATGTTCATCTGTATATAAACCACACTGCATTTGTATAGTGCTTCAGCGATGATAGTTGGTGCTATCTGTATTTTAACAATGGAGAGCTTAGATAGAGATGTCAATTTACCTTATATAAAATAGTAAAATAGCATGACTTATTATAAAGGTATTCTTAAGTGAACATATGTTTTGCAATAATGAAGATTCACTTAAACCTTAAAAATGGACTGCTAATCTTGTAATGTTTGAGATTTAACTCAGGGTTGGTGATTAAAACCTAAATTTTCAAGTCTGTGGTATCTTTCACAGCAATAGTTCTTAATTCATAATTAATGGATTTAGATAGGGTCTGTGAACTCCCTGGACTTGTATGCATCAGTTTCAGGGTTTTGTTATAAACCATTGGCATTAGTGTAGACTTCAAATCCATACTGGTTTCCCCTCACTGAGTCAGGAAAGGTTCAGCTTAGTGTTACATAGAAAAATTAAAAAATTAAATCTAATGGAATAAAAGTAGAAAGGAAATATTTGTAGTATCTCAATTGTAATTGTATTGCTATGGCTTCTTTTATCTTTTTAAAATTTTCAGTGGTTGAGAGGACTACTGACCAGTAGACAGAGTTTCAACATCTTATTTGGTGAATGTCCATATTGCAGTAAGGTAAGCAAATTACTAATCACGTTTCATAAAATGTATCCAGCTTTTAATAATGTGTTCTAGAAGATGAATATCTAAACAGTATGCTCAAACAGTATATTATTACCTTATCTAAAAGTTTTAAAACACTGATTTTTCTGTTTCTGTTGTCCTTCTCAACATTTTGTTAACCTAAGTGATCTGAAACTTCAGAAGAGTATTTTCCAAACTGTATCATGATTCCATTTGTTTTTAAAGAAATTTTTTTAAAATGTCTTCAAACTTTTTTAAAATTTATTCTCTTTTTCCCCAGCCAATTACTTTGAAAATGTCTGGAAGGAAACCCTGAAAAAAGAACGTACTACTTCTGTGGCAGAACAGAAACTTTAAAAATTATCAAAATAATTTTATCTTCAGAGAAAATACAGAGCAAGACATATTAATATCAAAAGACAAAGAATGATGACACCATAAGGATACACTTCAGCCTTTGTCTCTTCACTAAGAGTAAACTGGGAAATGTTAAGCCCAAATCCTGTAGAACTTTCTAACTCTCTGGCCTCCATAGCAGTTGTGGAAGTGTATGTGTCCCAAAATGGAGAGCTTGACTTGTGCAATTGGCGTGGACTGATGATAAAGTCTTGATGAGATTCATAAGATGAATTTAGGCATTGTGTGCAGCTGGAATTTTGTGTAGTGCTTTTTGCTTCATTTGAAAATTCTTGAAACTGACAATATTTTTGTCTCTTCCTTATGATTTTCTATGAGAAAATATAAAGTTAAGAGTTAGAACCTGTTGCAGTAAAGATATTTAAGTCGAAGTTAATAATACTTAAAATAACCAGATCCAGTAAGTTGTCCATCTCTTAAATAACTTTTTTTTGTTTAAGACTTATTTATATAAGAACCTGGGTACAGCCAGATGCGCGGGAGGGTGAGAGGATTCACCAGAGACAGAGCGGGGAACAGAACAGGCAGATTGACTGAAATACACTGCTGAGGGGAGCAGTGGGTGAGACAGGAGAGGTCTGCCGCGCCATGTGGGACCCTTGCAGGCCGGCTGGGATCCAACTGGCGCTGTAGAGGCTGTGGACAGCTTCACAGCACTGCGCTCAACCGCCTGCACCACCAGGGGAGGCCCTTAAATAACCTTTTTAAGAGACTATGAAAACAATTTTCTTGGCAAGACAAAAAGCTGGCATTAATTTTACAGGAATTAAGATAGTTACAATTTAGTGATTTTTAGTCTTTACACAACCAGAAAAGTGCCTGAAGGGTGGACGTTTTGGCACTATATAGGTAACTGATAAAACCCCAAGAATTAGTTTCTTGTTCTCAACTTTCAGTTGAGTTCTGCTTCACATTGGTGACCTGAAATGCCCTCTCCTTGTGCCATTTATGAAGTAATTACAAGGCAATATACTATGAACTACTTAGAATAACATCAGCTGAAGAGAAGTTGAAGGAATAGCTATTCTGAAAAATTTCTGCCTTATTTTATAAATGTGTTTTTTTTCTAAGTTACTTGATAAATACTACAGGTGAGGAAAGGCCACATCATCAAAGTGAAGCAGAAACAGAATAATTCCAGGTAGTTTCACCTTAAGTTCTTTGCCATAATCATTTGCATTGCATAGTTAGCTGGCCATAAGGCAGTTTTGCTATAAGGTAAAATTAACTGGTTGACAAAGAGGCAGAGGGCCCCAAAGGTTCAGAGTTGAAACCACATTTCCCAAAGAAGTTTGAACATGTGTTGGGGAAGTCCTCTACACTGCTATGTGTTACCATGTCACAATTCTAAAGCCCGTAACTGGGCTTAGTATTATGCATCCTGGCATTTGAAAATTGATAACTCTCAAGAAGGGAGAAGTGCAATGTAAAATACTATGAATAAAACACTTCAAAATGTTATTTGTCAGAATTGTGTGTATAGAGTCATAGCAATTCTGGCAAATAACATTTTCAATATATTAAAATATTTTCTGCTTTTCACTGTTTAACTAAAGTTATAAAAAATAGAGACTTTTTTTAATGGCAAAAGTGTCTTTTGTCCAATTAGTCATGCAGTGAAAAGGCTTGTGTCAAAGAACTTGTCGTTGAATCTATGGGACACAGTAGTCTTCCTCCTACCACTCAAATCACTTTCAGGATACAGAGTTTAAGACTATCAGACACGATGTCTTGAAAATTGTCTACAAGCTGGCAACAGAGCCTATCCTTTGATTCACTCATGACAGAAACAACTAAAAGATACCTAGCATAGGACATTACTGAGAATCCTTTAGCATGGTGGTAAGGCTAAGCACCTCCTCCACCTCAGAGCCCAATACAGACTGCATTAGAAGGAATGCTGAGGATCTCTTGGAGACAGCAGGCTGGTCAGCCCGCTTAAAAGGCCATAGGTGGGGAGAAAATCAGCAGGGAAACAACTGATGACTTAAATGACAGATGAGGAAAACAAATACTGTAGGATTTCATTCAAATGTGGCATGTGGAGAAACAGATTAACTAAATAAACCAAAACGTTTGGGCTATCAGTCATGTAAGTGGAAGGGAGAAGGGGCTGGGTAAATCAGATAAAAGGAGAATTTGTATAGTGAAGGATGGAATTCAACTTTGAGTAGTATACTTAATGTAGCACAGAGCTGTTGCTATTTACTGATGTACACTGGAAACTTGCATGTTATAGTGTAAAGTAACTTCAGTTTAAAAGTTCACTCACTTTATATATATCTTTCACAAAGAAAAATACATACCATCAAACAGTTTATTCCTGAGATTGAGAGATTGGTAAGCTAAGTTAAGCAGCATTTACTTACAACTTTGTATAAATTACATGTGGAAGGGAATGACATCCCCACCTAGGTATGAACAGAAGTCAAATTACTAAAATTTCAAGGTAGGATCATTTACTCTGTAATCTACATACCCAGCCTCTCTTTAAGCAGCAACAAATGTTACCAAATGGGGAAGCCATCATAAAGGATTTAACTACCAGTTGTCTTTACTTGGATATTAGCTTGGGAGATAACTCATCCCAAGACCAGTAGTAATGCTGTCAACAAATCCTGCATTGGGAGCATCAGCTAGCCTTGAATGCACTTTAGAATAAATTAGGAAGCAATGAGAACTGTTAATACCCCCATCTATTATGTTGCTGGAAAAGTCATGACGCATTTTTGCTTGAAAAACAACACATCATGACCTTTCTGACAACCCATTAGTTCTGATCATGAGTAAGACTTCATTCCTACAGTTCAAAGTCCCTGAAGTAAATACAAAGCCAAAAAGTTAAAAAATTTATATGAAACAACTCATCAGAAAACAAGACTGATTCTTGAGAGGAAAATAGGCCCCAGAAAGGCTACAGTTTAAAATATTTACTTAAGAACAGTCCCAAAAAGCAGAAACAAATCAGGACATGATCAAGTTGAAACACAAATAAATGAACTGCTGCCAGAACAAAACAATGTTTTTAAGTGAATACGGTATTCATGTGTGATTTAATGCCTTTTTAAATATATTTTATTTATTGTATATAATTCTTATATCATTTTTCATTTTTGCATAGTGTATGCATTTTCATTTTGGTTATATTCCCCGTACAATACCCACTCCCCTTATTTTGGCCCTGATCCCTCCTCTTCTCTCCCTACCCCCCACCCCCCTTAGTGTGTCTCTGGTTTATAGCTGCTTGTTGATTGATTTTTCTTTATTATAATTAGTCTATTTCCTGGTACCTTATTTAGGTTTTCTAAATTCCTGTGATGAGTGAGACCATCCGGTATTTTTCTTTTTCTTTCTGGCTTATTTCACTGTGCATGATCCCTTCCAGCTCCATCCGTGTTGCTGCAAATTACATGAGTTTATCTTTTTTGATTGCTGAGTAATATTCCATTGTGTACTTGCACCACATCTTTTTGATCCAGTCTATTTTTGGGCATTTAGGTTTCCATAGCTTAGCTATTATAAATAGTGCTGCTATAAACATAGGGGTGCAGGTGCCCTTTTGAATGAATGTTTCGGTGTCCTTTGAGTAAATACCTAGGAGTGGAATTGCTGGATCATATGGAAGCTCTGTGTTTAGTAGGTTGAGGAAACTCCACACAGCTTTCCATTTTGCACTCCCACCAGCAGCGTAAGAGAGTTCCTTTTTCTCCACATCCTTGCCAACATTTGTTGTTGCTAGTTTTTTTAATATGTGCCATTCTCACTGGTGTAAGATGGTATCTCATTGTAGTTTTGATTTGCATTTCCCTGATTACAAGTGATGTTGTACATTTTTTCATATGCCTGTTGGCCATTTGCATTTTCTCTTTGGAGAAGTTTCGTTTTAGCTCTTCTGCACTTTTTTAAAGATTTATTTTATTTATACAAGAGCCAGGGTATAGTCCACATGCGTGGGAGGGTGAGAGGATTCACCAGAGACAGAGCAGGGAACAGAACAGGCAGACTGATGAAATACACTACTGAGGGGAGCAGAGGGCAGGACAGGAGAGGTCTGCTTGCCATATGGGTTGCTCCGAGGCTGGTGGGGATTGAACCAGCACTGCAGAGGCTGCAGACAGCTTCACAGCGCTGCGCTCAACCACCTGTGCCACCAGGGAGTCCCCTGCCCTTTTTGATTGGATTATTTTCTTTGTTTTTGTTGAGTCTCATCAGCTCTGTAGATTTTTATGATTAGCCCTTTATCATTAGTGTTGTGTGCAAAAATTTTCTCCCAGTCGGTGGGGTTTCTCTTTGTTTTTGTTATTGTCTCTTTTGCTCTACAGAAGCTCTTTAATGAAGTTTCAGCTGTTTATCTTTGCCTTCACTATCACTGCTTTGGGTGATATGTCTGTAAAGATGTCTTTGAGGTGGCATGTCATGTAGTGTTTCACTTATATTTCCTTCTATATATTTTATGGTTTCAGGTTTTATGTCTAGTTCTTTAATTTATTTTGAGTTGGTTTTTGTGCATGGTGTGAGGTAGTAGTCAAGCTTCATTCTTTTGCATGTAGCAACCCAGTTTCCCCAGCACCATTTATTGAACAAACTTGCCTTGAACCATTGCATATTCTTCTCTCCTTTGTCAAAGATTAGTTCACTGCTGAGGGGAGCAGCGGGCGAGATAGGAGAGGTCTGCCACGCTATGTGGGACCCTCGCCAGCCAGCTGGGATTGAACGGGTGCTGCAGAGGCTGCGGACAGCTTCACAGCACAGCGCTCAACTGCCTGCACCACCAGGGGAGGCCCAATATTTGTTCTATTTCTTTGAAGAATGTCATTGAAATTTTTATTGGAATAGCATTGAATCTATAAATTGCTTTTGGTAGGATGGCCATTTTGATAATGTTAATTCTTCCAATCCATGAGTAGGGGATGTTTTTCCATTTCTTTGTGTCTTCTATTTCTTCTAACAGTTTTATTGTTTTCTTTGTATAGGTACTTTGCCTCTTTTGTTAGATTTATTCCCAAGTATTTGATTTTTTTGTTTCAATAATAAAAGGGATGGTTTTCTTGATTTCTTCTTCAGATTTATTGTTTATGTATAGGAAGGCTACTGATTTTTGTGTTGATTTTGTATCCTGCCACTTTACTAAAATGATTGGTTTTTCTGTGGAGTTTTTGGGGTTCTCTATGTATATTATCATATCATCTGCAAATAGTGATAGTTTGACTTCTGCCTTGCCTATTTGGATTTCTTGCATGTCTTTCTCTTGTCTTATTACTCTGGCTAGGACTTCCGGTATTACATTGAAAAGCAGTGGTGAGAGTGGACATCCTTGTCTTGTTCCAGATCTTAATTGGCATCTATTGATATTATATGTTTTTTATATTTCTTTTTGTTGATGTGTTGGATTACATTGATTGATTTTCGGATGTTGAACCATCCTTGTGTCCCTGGAATAAATCTTACTTGATCGTGGTGAATTATCTTATGGATACATTGTTGAATTCTGATAGCTAAAATTTTATTGAGGATTTTTACATCAGCATTCATTAGAGAGATTGGCCTGTAGTTTTCTTTTTATTGTTGTTGTCCTTGTTCAGTTTTGGTATTAATGTAATGTTGGCTTCATAGAACAAGTCTGGTATTCCTTCCTTCTCAATTTTTTGAAAGAGTTTGTGAAGGACAGGCATTAATTAGTTTCTGAATATTTGGTAGAAATCATTTGTAAATCCATCTGGTCCTGGGCTTTGTTTTTGATTACCATTTCAGTTTTACTGCTTGTAATTGGTCTGTTTAGGTGTTCTATTTCTTCTTTATCTAGCTTTGGGTGATTATAGAGTTGTAGGAATTGGTCCATCTCTTCTAGATTATTGAGTTTGTTTGCATATAACTGTTCATAGTAGTTTCTGATTATTCTTTTGGTTTCTGCTGTCACCACCAACTTCTTAACAAAAAGTTCATATACTCAAGAAGAAAGGGTGAAAGCTGTAAAAGAAAATTTTCATACCCAGTTAAGTCTTTGAAGTATGTGAAGGTGGTGGGATCTAGTTCCAGACAAGACAGAGCAAGTGCATTCTACACTTTTCTCCCTGTTAATAAAAATTGAAAAAAACTGGCACTATCAGAATAGTATGAAAGTTATAGAAGGCTGACTGGACAGGAACTTAAGGACAAAAGGAGTGACATAGCCACAAGTCACCCCCAAACCCCAGTGTTTTGGTGCCTCTTACGTACCTCAGCATGGGTCATAGAAAAGTTTACGATCTGTAAACAACATGTACAGATAAAAACAGGTCCAAGAAAAGTGTGCTGTCTCTATAAACAGGGGACCAGAGAAAGGCAGTTCTACAGAGTAAATCTCTTGCTTTATACCTACTCCACGTGGACAACATGAAAGCAGCTCATCAACCTCCTCCCCTCTTCAACTTCCCATGAGGTGCTGTGTTAACAGTTTCTTTCAAGCATTACCACCCTGTACTAAAAAGCAGCACACACACCTGTCCTGCCCCTGCAAACTAACAAAGCAGCACTTGTCTCTGCTGGATGTAATGGAAATTATGAGACAGACTCGTCAACCATTCTTTGTTTTGTTTTTTTTTTTTAAAGATTTATTTATGCATACAAGAGCTGGGGTACAAGCCAGAGGTGTGGAGGGTGAGAGAATTCACCAGAGACAAAATGGGGGATAGAACAGGCAGATAGACCAAAGTACACTGCTGAGGGGAGCAGCAGGCGAATCAGGAGAGGTCTGCTGTGCCATGTGGGCCCTGGCTGGCCGCGGGATCAAACTCATGCTGCAGAAGCTGTGGACAGCTTCATAGGTTGCATGTTAACCCCTTACGCCACCAGGGAGGCCCACGTCAACCATTCTTAACTTGCACCACTGAGTTGGCATTTCTGCTGCTTCCTGACCAGGTATTATGGTAGTTGGCATTATGCTGCTTCCTGACCAGGTATTAGGCCACAGCTAGGCTAATCTTCCCTGCATTAACCCAGGAAGAAGCAATGCCTCTTTTTCCTCCCACCACACACTTAGAGATTGACCGGCGAGCCCTAAATGATCATTAAGCCAAAACCAAATGACTCCCTACTTCCCTGTGGCCTCAACCACTATAGGGAGATCACTTAACATCACTGCTGTGCATTATGCAAATGACAGCAAAGAGGCAGCATCTCACATCTTCCTAGCCAGAAATCCTGTCCTCACTGATTAAATATCAGAGAGAAAATCAGCAAAGATAAAAAAGAAAGCCAATGGAAGCTGATATTTAAGAGCACTCTACCCTAAACAAGAGGAAAAATGACTCTTTTCAATTGTAATTAGAACATTCTCTAGAACAGGCCATATCCTGGTTCATAAAACAAACCTAAACAAATTAAAAACAAATTTATACAAAGTATGGTCTTAGACAGTAATATAAATTCAAAATCAACAACAAAGATAATAGAAAACTCTTCAAATACCTGTAAACTAAGCAACACACTCTTCATAAGGCATGAAAAGAAATCTCAAGGGAAGGTATAAAGTATCTTGAGCTAAACAAAATTAAAAAATAAGGATGTATGGGATACAGTTAAATTAAACAATGCTTATATTACAATGAAGCATTCAAATAAATAGACTAAACTTCCATCTAACTAGAAAAAGGAAAATAAACTATAATAAATCCAAAAGAATAGGAAAGTCTCTAAACATTTGAAAATTAAAGAAACACTTGTGAATGGTTTAAAGAGACAGAGAAGAAACAATATATTGAACTGAATGAAAATGTAACATTAAAATATGTGGGCTGCCATTAATACAGTGCTGGAGGGGAAATATAATACTGACTACCTATATTAGAAAAGAAGTTTCAATTCAATGATTGTTTCCACCTCAAGAAATTAGAGAAAGAGGAAATAAGTCCGTAGCAGAACAAAGTAAATAAAGAGCAGAAATCAATGAAATTGACAATAGAAAAATCAAACAAAATCTGGTTTGGGAAAAGACCAATAAAACTGATAAAATTTGATGAAAGAAGAGGAAAAACTATCTGGAAAGAAAAACTACAGCACTCAACAGACATTTAAAGGCTATAAATAGGGGAATAATATGAGTAATTATACATATCCAAATATGACTAATTAGATGAAATGGACCATTTCCCAGAGAACAAAGATTACAAAAATTCCCTAACTCAAAATGAAGTAGATTAGAAATTGCTAAACTGTGGGACAAAGGTAGTACAGACTCTACCTGTCTGTAGAGTATAGCAACTAGAAATGAGCTTTATATTTTTAAATGGCTGGAAAAATATTTTGTGACACTTGAAATTTGTATGGAATTCAAATTCCAATCCCATAAATGAAATTTGATTGAAACTCAGCTCTATGCATTTGTGTATGTACTGTGTATGATGTTTTTGCTTGACCATGCAGCACTGAATAGTTGTAACCAAGCATATGAACTGCAAAACTTAACTATTATCTGGCTTTTTACAGAAAGTTTGCCCACTCTTGAAATTGATAACTGCATAGTGTTAGTAAAGAAATTGAGTTCATAGTTAAAAAGGAAATCTCCAGGTTCATATGTTGTCACTGGGGTATTCTCTAAAACATTTTAAAAAGAAACAAAATTCTACTCATTCTCTTCTAGAAATTAGAAGGATGACTTCTCAAATAATTTTTATGAGGTTAGCATTATACTGATAGCAAAAAGAGTACAATTAAGAAAAATGAATAGACCTAGGGCCTCCCCGGTGGCGCAGCGGTTGAGCGCTGGGTTGCGAAGCTGCCCGCGGCCTCTGCAGCGGCGGTTCGATCCCCAGCTGCTTCCTGGCCACCGGAGGAGGGTCCCACATGGCGCGCAGACCTCTCCTGCCGCCCGCTGCTCCCCTCAGCAGTGTATTTCGGTCCATCTGCCTGTTCTCCCCGCTCTGGCTCTGGTGAATTCTCTCACCCTCCCGCGCTTCTGACTACCCAGTGCTTGCATAAATACACAAAGATAAATCTTTAAAAAAAAAAAGATACAAAAGTCCATCACAAAAATCTAGCAAATTGAATTTAGCAACGTGTAAAGAAGACAGCATGACCAAGTGGGGTGGTTTTGAGGAATTATAAAACAAGTTCGGTTTTCAAATACTAATCAGTGTTATTCACCATGGTAAGCAGCATAAAAGTAAAAAAATGACATGAACATATTAATTGAAAAAGCATTTAACAAAATTCAATATTCATCAATGACACACAATTTCAATACATTAAAAATAGAGGAGAGCTTCCTCGACTTGATCAAGAACATATCCCAAAATCCGACACTTAATGTAGTAAATGAAAACCTGGAATCAATTCATGTTCAATACTACATTCATACAGAGAATAGTATGTAGCAATAAAAGGAATGAACTATTGAAACATGTAAAATTTAGATCTAAGGGGTGCTGGGGTGAATGAAATAAGCCAGTTTCAACAAGTTATGTATTGGGGCCTTCCTGGTGGTGCAAGGGGTTAAGCATCAGCCCTATGAAGCTATCTGCAAGTACTGCAGCACGAGTTCGATCCCAGACCAGGGAGAGACCCACATGGTGCAGCAGACCTCTCCTGTCTTGCATTCTGCAGTGTAGTTCAAGAGATCCGCCTGTTCTGTTCTCCACTCTGTCTCTGATGAATCTTCTCGCTACCCCTACACCTCTGGCCTGTACCCCATTTCTTGTATGCACAAATAATCTTTAAAAAAAAACAAGTTATGTATTGTATACTTTGATTTATATGATATGATTAAAATGACAAGATTATAGCAATGCTAATGCTTCCCTGATTTTAGGACTGGGGGAGCTATCACAATGAAAGTACATGAGGGAGTTTCTTTGTGCTCATGGAACAGTTCTATAGGATGATTATAATGGTTTTTCTGTACATGTAATAAAATTTCATAAGAACACACATTGTAATGTGTATTTAAATACTGGTGATCAAAGAAGTCTATATTTTATAGAAATATACCAACATTAGGGGCCTCCCCTGGTGGCGCAGGCAGTTGAGCGCCGCACTGTGAAGCTGTCCACAGCCCCTGCAGCACCGGTTTGATCTCGGCCAGCCAGCGAGGCTCCCACATGGTGTGGCAGACCTCTCCTGTCTCACCCTCTGCTCCCCTCGGCAGTGTATTTCATCAGTGTATTTCGTCAGTCTGCCTGTTGTGCTCCCCACTCTGGCTCTGGTGAACCCTCTCACCCTCCCGCAAATCTGGCGTGTACCCTGGTTCTTGTATAAATAAATAATTTTTTTTTTTATTCTGAATAGATGCTGAATTTTATTTTTTAGCTTTTTTTTGGTGTATGTGTGGGACCCTCACTGGCGCACGGGGAACTGACCGGTGCTGCAGAGGCTGCGGGCAGCCTCGTAGCCCAGCGCTCAACCACTGCGCCACCAGGGGAGGCCCAATAAATATTTTTTTTAAAAAAAAAGAAATATACCAACATTAGTTCCTGGTCTTGAAAATTACACTATGGCTAATAAGTTATTTCAGTTGGGGGAAGTAGAGTAACAGGTACATGAGAACTTTCTGCACTAATTTTGAAACTTCTGAGTCTACAGTTAATTCAAAATAACATGCTAAAAAATTTCAGAAGTAAAATATAGTTCTAATTCTCCCCACACCAAAAGAAGGTAAAGATGAGATAAAGATTTTAAGAGAGACCTGGAGATTCCTGGTCTCCAGGAATCTAAACTACAATTCATGTTAAAGGAATTTCTTTAGTTTGAAGGTAAATGATACCAAATGTAAACTCAGGTCTGTGGAAGGTCTGAGTAAATCCAATAACAGTAAATACTAGGTATTTAAGATTTTATCCGCAATTTCTCTAAAAGAAAACTGACTTTTAAAAGCACAATAATGTATTATGGAATTAAGGACAAACGTAAAAGTAAAATGTATCACGACAGCCCAAAGAATGGGTGATAAATGAAAATGTTATTTGTGTAAGGTTCTTAAGGTATATGAATTCACGGCACATTGCGGTATATGCACCTAATAACAGAGCAACAAAATTCAGGCAGCAAAAACTTAGATAAAGGGAGAAATAAGTGAATACATAATTACAGTTGGAGATTTTAATACTTCTTTTCCATTAAATGTAAAACAGGAGTCAAATAGAAACAGGACATGGATATGGACTGAAATATTTGATTAATTAAAAGAGATGGATATATTCCTTGAAAGATACAAATAAATACAAGATGAGGAAAATCTAATGATCAATATATCTTTCATAGAAAGTAAATTCGTAATTAAAAAATACTCTAGATCTGGATGGTTTTATTTACAACAAAACTCTAGATCTGGATGGTTTTATTGCTAAGTTTGTCAAACACCTATGAAAGACAAATCTTACTAAAACATTTTCTAAAGTATGAGCACTTCCAACTCATACCACCTGAAAACAAAACCACATGAGGATATCACAAGATAGGGAAATTAGAGATCAATTATATTTTACCAAAGCTTATATGGAAATCCAATGGAATAATAACAAATAGAATTCAGTCTGAGGATATCATGTCTAAGTGGGATTTATTCCAGAAATAAAAAGGTAACATTCACAAATCAGTGTAATTCATTATATTAGTACAGGAGAATAATCACAAGATCATCTCAATAGATCCCCAAAACACATTTAATACCCATTCATGACTTCAACTTTGAACAAGCTACAGAGACAACAAAATTTCCCCAGACAATAAAATTTCCAGCCTTTTAAGATCTGGAATAAATAAAGCAAGGGTGCAATATAAAATTAGAGATCATGGCAGGTGTGTAATAAGGCAAGAAAAAATATAAATGAAAGGCATACATGTTGGAAAGGAAGAAGTAAAGAAATCTCTCTTCACAGAAAACATGACCGATTATAGAAAATCCTAACAATATATCAACAAAACAACAAAACTAGTAAGTGAATTTAAGGTCCCAAGACACAAGGTCAGTATTCAAAATCTTATTTCTATATATTTAGAACACAAATGGAATATGAAAAAAATGTAAATGACATTTACAGTGATATCAAAAAACAAAATTTTTAGAGGTAATTTTAATGGGAGATGTGTAAGATATCTACACTGACTACTACTAAGTATTGTTGCGAGAAATTAAGGAATATCACATAAAGGGAAAGGAGTACCAGATTCATGCATTCAGGCTCATAATGTGATGTCAGTTCATACTAAACTGACCTTTAGATTTAGTGTAGTCCCATTCAAAAATCCCATTCTGCTTTTTATTAGAAATTGACAAGCTGATTTTATGGAGGGGACTAGAACTTAAAAGGCCAAGGCATTCTTAAAGAAATGGTTGAAGCACTTGCACTATCTAATTTCAGAATTTGGTGTAAAAGCTACTGTAATTAATTATAGTGTGGTGTTAGTTTAAGGGTAGATTGATAGAAGAGATTTCAAAAATAAGCCCACACTTACACATTGAACTAAGATCCTCAGGAAAAGGGAAAATCCTTTTTAACAAATGGTGCTGAGACAATTGGTTTTCCTTATGGAGAAGAATGAACCTGAACACCTACCTATGCCATAGACAAAAATTAATTTGAAATGGCTTACAGAACCAAACATAAAAGCTACACACACACACACACACACACACACACACACATCCCTTGAAATAATTTTGTAACTTTGTGTTAGGCAAATAAAAATTTAAAAATTGATCACACACAGATACCCACCCACCCATCCACCCACACACACACTGCATTGCCACTCTGGAGCGTGTACACTGATGCCCACTATTTACTACCTGAAAACAGCTGATTCTGGTACACAGTACACACTGAAGAAGAGCACCCAAAGATCTCTATATTTTACCAGCAACAGATACTTTTAATCTTACAATGATAGCTATAAAATGTGATCATTCACAGTAGGTTCCTTTATATCAATCTTAAAAATACAATGGTAACTACCGTTTTTAAAACAGATTGGATGCAAGAGAGTCCTATTAGTACTAAAAACACATTTCTTCTTCTGGATGAACTTAGATGCTTGCTGGTTGGATGAGAAATGCCTAACTAGTACGCTTCTAATTTTTGCTTTGGTTGCCAAGAAGTTCAGAGCCAAATTCAATGCTCAGTTTAGTGATTAACATCCCAGCTGCTTGGTCTAACAATATTGGGGTGTGGGGGGCAGGAGGGGAGGTGATTGGGAGAAAGAAAATCGAGGCATTAAATTATCCTGTTTTCACTATAAACTACTTCAAAGCATGTAGGGAAAATGATGTATGAATTATATAAATGTTGGCCATTTTGAAAAAATTTTTTTCACTGCAGATACAAATGTATGTTTCTTGTCAAAAAAGGTTAAATTAGGAAGGACTCTGCTGTTACTTCAGTGAGTTATCTACTTAAAGTGAGTCACTATCCAATCAGATGATCAAATGATACAAAAAATGCATCCTTTTAAAATACAACCATATTGACAGGGAAACACTTCACTTACATTTGATTATAAAGGTTAGACTGTAGAAACCAACGTGAAAGTATGGACTATGTTAAGAGTCCCTAATGGATCATAGATGGCATAAAAAATTTAAGTGCACTTCATTACATTCTTAGGCTAAGAAAGAAATCAGATCTGTACACAAATGTGCTCACTGTCTATGATAACCGGTGTCGGCTGCTTTGATTTTATCAACTATATTCTCTGTCCCTTCTCATTTAACAAAACCATACAACCTTGGCCTTCACGAGAAAATAAAATGTCTGCATTCCCAAAGGGCATATTCTAATGTAACATTAAGGGGATTAAAAAAAAAACACACACACAACAAAAAACCTCTCACCTGAGCTACTTCACTGTCAAATGATCCAATCAGCTTCTTATTTTGCACTTCTCTCCAAGTTGCACAGGACTCAGCACTTCTTTCACTGTGGGGTTTTTTTTCTTTTAACCTATTTTGCATCTGATTGACTTGTTTTGCTGCAACCTTTTGCAAATCAACCTGTTGATAAAGCATAAGTAATAATGTATAATGAAAACTTTTGACACTTCAAAACATAATGCATTCATGTTTCAATTACTGAAAATTCTAAACTTGCCAAACATTGAAAAAAGGAAAGAAATAAACAGGAAACTAACAAGGATTATTATAGAAAAACTGTAGTTGGCAAGATCCAGATCCTTTCTCATCAACAGGACAAGACCAATTAAAATTAGTGTCACTGTATGTACTCTTTAGAAATTATCTCTACAGATACTTGTTTATTGAAAAGACATTTTTACAGAAAACTGTCACATTTTAAAACCACATGAATTCATTATTAACCTTTGCTGGGAGTAGATCCAGTATATCTTCTTAGTTTAAATTCTTATTAATTAGAATTTTAGGCAGTTTTCTATCAATGAAGTGAGACTAATTAATGTGAACCTAGAAGTAGCTTATGATGTCTCCTACTTTTTGGCAACTTAACCTTTGGGCAGTTGAGTAACAGTTCATGCCATCCAATACTGTGTACCAGTATCAGAGATTATGTTCCACAACAAGCTTGCTGTCTTTAAGGTTTCTTTTTCACACCATGGTGTTTATCTGGGGAATGATGGACTCTCAATAATTTTGAAGTAGACACAGTAATGGAAAGGCAGATCCCAAAATACAGTTGGAAGATTAAAAGCCACAATGAAGATGCTTATGTGAAGTATTTGCTCAGCAGCTTCATGTTTACAGCAGCTGAAAGTGCCATCACCTTTTATCATGGGTTAAATAAAAGGGCAGAAGATAGGAACAGAAAAAGGGGAAATAATGGAGTAGCCAGTGCCAAAATAGAAAATGAATTACATTGGCTGAGCAAGCAGAGCCTTAATTGGTAGTCTCTCAATTTTCAGCTTCTAATGCCAAGTATGTTCGCTCCTCTGCTTTAAAATATACTCGTGTTTTGTGGTTAGGTCAAGTCGTCACAACACCATTTTTTATTCACCCTTCCTCCCAGATCCCAGCTTTTCAAAGGATAGCAAAGCCTTTCAGTAATCTGAAAATTGGAATGGTTTTCTTAATCACTCAAGGGTTCTTTATTTCTACCGTTCAATTCCCAAACTACTGAGCTAGCTATGTATAACTACCTTCTGAACTTTGAAGTTCAATGCAAAAATTACTACTATCAATAATAATATATTCACTTCATTTGCTATGAGAACCATAGATTTGGTTGAGTGAAGGAACAAATGTTTCCTGTATGAAATGGAGGAACTTTAGCGCTTCAACACTTTAGTGCTGACTTACAACCATTCCTCTGCATACCGGTCTGTACTATTACAATATAAATTCAGGCATCATCATAGGGAGGGGAGATATTGATAAAGTGATGAAAGAGCTTATTCAAGAGTTGAATTGGGAACTTCAATAATTCAGGTCTTCCATCTTGGCTTTAGCATTCTCATCTGGGAATTCTAGAGTGTTAGCTCACCTCAATAATCGTTCTCACAAAAACATGGTTTCCTTCAGTGAATTCTGGACATTAAATCCCAGCAGATGGCATAAATAGACTGGGTAGCCCTGATGATAGATTCTTCTAATTTGACTGTGCTACCTCAGGAGCTGTCAGAATTACTAAAGAGTGATTTCAGCTATACATATCATCATTTTGATTGAGGCAAAACCCCCAAAAGACTTGCGTTTCAGGAAAAATATCAATGTCTCCACTATCTTGACAAAAATTCATTTCCATTTTAACTACAGTAACAGTTTCGAGGATTTCAAGAAGAAGGCTCAGTTTACAGGGAACAATTTATGATGCCTAATAAAACCCAGTGTAGGAAAAATACCTCATTTTTCTTTTCCAAGAAAATGCTGTAAGTATGCTGAGATTCTTAGGGTGATGTGCTATTTTCTAATACCTAACCAAAACCATATTTTTGTTAAACTAAATTTAAAAAGCACAACTGCTTATACTGGGAAATGACATTGTTTTTAAAAAAAGTAAATATCATAATTTTCCTTTGAATCCTGAAACATAGTAGCATTTTATTTATCTTATATACTTTTTCAGGTCCACTGACTCCTTTTTAAGTATCTCAGCCCTAAAAGAAGAAGTCCAAAATTTATTTACTTACATGTTAAATAGCTAGAGTGATCGAATGCATAGTCACAAATGTTTTTAGTTAGTAATGACTGTGGCTGAAAAGAAATTTGGAGTCATGTGGTTGATATACATTCTGAACTTAAGATGTTTTTGTTATGGGGAAGCATTTAATTGTAGAAACTATCATATATTTACTCAGGGGACCAAAGTCCATTTCAGTTTATAACACTTTGGTTTGGAATGCTTTCAAGTTTGGTTTTTAGATGACAAAATCTGTAAACTTCAAAAATTAAAAAATAAAGGTACTTTACTTAATTGAATATAAAAAAATAAGATTTAGTCAATATGGAGAAGTCATATTTCACACTATAATTATTAAATCTATTTGTGTACTCAAAATACTACAGAAATAAAGCCATTGGCGAGTACAATATTGATCTGCTGTGAAATATATTCCCAAATCATCTTACTCTCGATACACTGAAGCTGATCACATGGTCAAAAGAATTTAACCAAGGTCTTAGGAATGTATATTATTCTAGTATTTTCTTTTTAATCATAAAGTACTTTAATCAAAAGGGAATGATACAATGTTTTTCATGGCAGCTCACTGGAAAAAATGTTTTATATTCTATTCTCTGCATATAAAATGGTTTCAGAAAAACATCATTTGAATTTGATGAAACTGAAAATTCTGGTGGGTAATAATTAGAATTTTATATCAGGCTACAGCTATCAGGTTTCAAAATGGTTTCTTATATTTCAATTAAGTTTATGAAATTAAAAAACTACAAAAAAGGAAAAAAAATCAAATTAGTGTAGATTAAGTGGTGACCATTATTGTAAGGAAAACACTATGTCAAGGAAATGGCTCTTTGTTTTGTTGAAAAAGTGATAAAAACACAAAAGTCAATAAAACTGTTAAAATAAGTCTCAGTAATTACCAAGATCAAAATCCAGTGGCTTTTTATTAAACATGAACTTTTGTTCTGCCTTCTGCAATACGTAAATAGTGCTGACAATTGGTTTGTGAGGCACTTGCTACAATAAAATGTAATTGTATCATGAGAGAAAGGTGACAATCAGGAGATCATGAAAAAATTACATATTCTCACTGGTAGTTAATTAGCCATGCAAAACCTCCTCAAACAGATATTCTCTTCTATTAGGAATGATTACTATGCAGGCCTACAGATGTCAATACCACAGTCATTCAAATACTTCTTTCCCTACTAATTGAAGGTTGTAAAGCTCTGGTGCCAAGGTTTTGCTTCCAAAGAGCTAATTTATGACTAGAAGGATATTTTATGTCTTCAGTTGCAGCAGCTACAAAATTCAGCAAATCAGAACCATCTGTGCACTGATACTTGACTCACCATTCATCTCGCAGCCTATCAGTCACATTAGTTTGCATCCTGCATTCTTGGCTCATGAACACTTGTGATGATCCAAAGTTCATAAGAAATATTAAAAATGAATGGCATTCTGACCCTTCCTTACTGTATACACATCACGGAAAAAAAAGCCTCCCCACTTTTTGGTATATGGATAGCATCAAGGAAGAAATGGACATTTAGTTACCTGTCTAGAAATATTGTGCAGTCTTGGGTTTCCTCCACCCTCTTAGAAAATGTTTTCAGTTGTAAGTTTTTTTAAGATGATGTGAAGGAGTTAATTGAAAAACAGCAGAGCAGATAAGGCACAACTTTAAAAGATAACTTTTTCAAAGAATTGTTTCTATGCATTTAAATATCGGCACATACACATATTCAGATTAAATCTAGGAATGTTATTATCAGCATCAAATTAAGGCCAAACTGGTAAGCAAAATTAGAGGGAAATAACTAAAGAAAATCTGAAGAAAAGCAACAAAAGAAGATTCTCATAAATAAAGCAGATAGCTCTTCCTCTTGCCCTAGGTATTCTCCACAAGGTCAGAGAGCCTGTTATTTCTCTGACAGGACAAAATGGATCATACATCCTATTTTTCCTAAAAGACAGTATGTTAAAAGAACTTTCAACGCAATTTTTTGGAACTGATTAAGGGGAAATAGGAATTAGATGTAAAAAAAACAAGAAACTCAGCTGTCAGATGTACTTTGAGACCTAAAATTTCATTTGTTAGGAAATCTTCACAGCAGGTCACCATAGGACCCCAGGGAACGCATTACTTACGTTCTGATGGTTGGGAGTATGCACATTTATACTCCTTCTGCTAGTTGAAAACTCCAAAGGTCCTAAAGATATTCCATTGGGGTTCAGAATTTTCTTAAGCATCTGATAGTCTGGCTTTTCATCATATGCTAAATTATGAGCATGCATCAAATACTGGGCTATTTCACCTGCGAAGTATTAATTTTTTTTAACATGTTATTCATGTTGGCAAGAGTTGCCAAGACTTCAGCATCTTCAACTCTGTTCTTTCTCTCTTACACATGCATACACACACATACACACACACATTCCATGGAAACTAAGAATGAACAATTTAATGAAAAATACTTTTAAAATGTTATCCAAACTGACAATATACAATGACCTACAGTGATTTCACAAGATGGAAGAAAGTGGTATTTTTTCTTTATCTTTGTTGATAGTCTTAAATACACTAATCTTATTAAAGAGAAAGCAATTTTTAAAATTTAGTGATTTTAGTTTCTTATGCACAACTACTAAGAATTACACGATTAATAAAACAGACATTTCATACTTAAGTTGCAGGTTTGAATTCAGTTAAAGTACATGTTACTTATTACAAACTTCCCTACTTTAAGGGAAAAAATGCAAATTTTAATTAAAGGCTTTGATTTTGAAATTTTAATATTATCTGTAGAAATGACCTTGAATTACACTTTAGCATGCTAGACTTTCAAATTCAACGGATCCTCCATCGAGTTCTCCTAATTTTGCTAACCCAGTTACGCTCCTGGCATAGTCTTCCTGATAGAGAGCAGGACAAGATATTGCTACCTTGTATTTTCTTTTTCTTTTGTAATCTCTTCTCTAGAACTAGAGCAGTCCTATTTCCCTCACCACCAATAAGCTTTTAAATATAAGAACTAGTAACCAATAGTCAGAAACATAACTACCCTAAAGTAAATGTAGTTTTGCATTTTTATTTCAGGTGATTCATTATGATGATAACCTAGCTACACATCCTGTCTAAAGACTGGCATGTTTTCATTTGTTCAGAGATGTTTAGGAACTCCACATACTGGTTTTTATAAATCTTTCCCTTTTAAAAACTTATTATTGACCCAGGCACAAATATTTCTTACTTTCTCTTAAGTCATTTATCTCATTGTGGGAAAATCTAGGAATCTTCCTGGGTTGGTAGAAGAGACTTCCTAATCCTTCACTCCCCCTCCAGGCCTACCTCCATGAGTGTCAGGAACTGCAGAGGCACTTGGTTTCACCCTCTACATGGAAAATTCCAGAAGAAATAGTCATCCTCTCTTATGCCCATGGAATCAGACAGTGACTGTTTTACACATTGTCCTTAGTGCTTTTCTAAGAGCATGAGGCCAATGGGTTAAAATGAAAACCCTTGGCTCCAGGGTTTTTTGTTTTTTGGATACTGTGGTAATTATGTAACCTCCATTTTTCCTCTCTACAGTATACAATATAATAAATTCTATTATATAGTACTAAATCAGCCACATCTCTATTAACTAGCCAGTGCTGTAGTCTCATCACATTTATAACAGTTTTCCATAAGAGCCCTTGGGACATCAAATTCCTGAAGGAATGATCAAAAAGAAAAAAGATTAAATTATATTTGCTATTATTTTAATATAAATATTCTGTTGTTCTTTGGCTCTTTCAAGATCAGTAAGCTAAGTTTGGTATACATTACAATTCCATTAACCAAAATATCCCAAATGGAAAGAGTTGAATATATTGGGAAGACTTTCCACAAATCAATATTAGGAGACAATGGAAGACTTCTGGCACTCCACCAACTGATAGCAGCTGTGCTGCAAAGGCTTCTTGGGTCTGGAGTTTGAAAAACATAAGGAACCAGTGAGACAGGAGAGGGCAAAAAAGAAAAGAGCCATTTCCATCATAAATTTATTATTATAAACCTGGAGTTAGACTATTGTGATGTAGTACTGGTTTAAATGTTAGCCTTTCAAGATCTGGATTTATTATATTAAGTACATGTTTTAATTTACTAGAATATTTCCAGAGCTGTAAAATAAAATGCTTTGAGTATTACAAAATTTTGATATTCTCAAATCATCTGCTTTTTAAGCTAATGAAATATTAAGTATCATTACTCTCATTTCAAGAAATAGAAACTTTTATAACTATTATACACAGAGTTGGACAAGCATGCTGCAAACTTCTTGGCTGTTTTATTTCACAATACATCTTAGTCATAAACCTCTTATAAATTGGCTTAATTTTCATTCTTGAATACCCATTCTCCTAAGCACAGCCTACTAACTTAAGAGGTCTCCAGTTAATATTAAAGTTTCAATGTTTTGTATTAGAAACCTGCTTTTAATAAAAAATAGTATAGACTCAAATAAGTAGTCTGTGCTGAAAAAAAGGACCCTTCATTTCTTCTATCATTCATATCTTATCTTTAGCAATAGAAGTGCCACAGAATATATACCGTCCCACATGCATTTACCTTGCACAACTCAGGTCATCTGGACTTTCTTTTCTACACCTAAACCAAATAGTTTACCTTTTCTGTAGCCACCCCTTGCCCCTAGCCACACACACACAAACACACAGAAAGCCCCCATCTTTTTTTCTTGCTCCTACTGAATAACAAAACAAAACCAAAAACTGACTTGGTAAACATGCTGATATTAGCCAAAAATGATCATTGGCATTTCTGACCAAATTACTTAGTACACTTACAAAAAAACCAAGAACGTGTCATCTTTAAGCCATCCCCCAAATAAAAACACTCTTGGGCTTTCCCCCTCCATCAGGAAAAAAGATGCTACAAAGTAGGAAGGAAAAGACTTACATTGGGACAAACCTTTGGAACTTGGGAAACAGAAGTGGAAAACAGGACTACTTTGTGCCCCATTTCCTATGAAAGTGAAAGTTTTGTCAACAGAGGGCTATAAATGTAAGTTTAAGATAATCTAACTACTTTTCAACCCTTGTACTGAAACTGATACTATATGACCTGAAGGCTAACTCTGCCCATCATAAGTAGAGAAGAAGATTCACTCTGCTTATCTGAGAAAAAGCAGTCCTGATAGAAGGAGAGAGGTTCTTTTCTAGAAGACACTCTAACTCAGTTGTTAAGGGGCGCAAAATAATGTGCTATGCATGGATATGCAAAATGACAGGTACTTGGGTAATTCCAAATTGACTATTTTATACTGATTATACTGTCACTTCTAGAATTCCAAAACCTTCTATACTAACTTGAAAGAGAAAACCATTTAATTAAACGTAATTCCAAATCTCAAGGTTATACACTTTCGCCAATCCAAAATAATTTTGCTAAATATTCAGTCAGATGATATGTAACCCTGGTCTAAATAGCTTTCAAGTATATAATGATTGCGATTTTTCAATCACTGATTGAAAGTAGTCTTTCACTAATATAAAAGGAAACAAAAACAGTAAAGGTCAACTGTAGAAATATGAGATACAGTTTTTTTAAAGCCGTCAGTAGAGGCCAGAACTGCCTAAATAATTCCTTGTGGTGATGGTGTATTCTAATGTCAAAGAAGATTGAAACATTCTCCTCCCTAGCAGCCCATCTGTGGCCCTAAGGAATTTCCTCCCACCCCAGCGGCAATGGGAGTGGGTACATTAAGCAAAATCTGTAAAACAAAAGTGACAAATGTGGCGACCTTTTAATCAGAACAGGAGAACAGGAGAACGTTGAAGTTATCATTTAAAACTTACAGCAACTGCTTCCAGAAGGAGCCCATTTAAGAACTGACTCGGGAAGTTCATCCAATAAACTAAAACAAAATAGAGTAATACACAATCAATTTGTTTTAAAGTCTGTGATTATTCTGATGAGAAGAAAACAAAACTTGAATTCCATGTTGGTGGATCGTAAATATTGTGACTTTCAATACTTTTTTCACTCACCTGAATGTAATGGGTAAGAAGGTTAAATGGAGGGAAAAAAAAGAGGGTTAAATGGAGGTTGGGGAAGATCCTATCAATCATCTAGAAACTAAACAATGCAGAATTACAATATAGATGCTCTAATTCAAAGTTTGTACATGCAGAACTGCAATAGCAAGAATATCTCATTTTTCTCTTAAAAAAATAAGAAAAATTTCATTAAAATAGTTGTATCTTGATTGTTAGGGTATTTTTTCATCAAGCATTTACCACTGGGGTGGGGTAAATTATGTAATTATTTGTGTGAACATATTCTTCACTGGCCAGTGTTTTAGGTCCCATGACTAAATAAGTTAACAAGAAGTAACCAAGAATAAAAATTAAAAAAATAATTTTTCTTCTTCTTTCCAGTGTTTCAGACTGATTAAGTACAACTCTTTTAAGTAGCTTCAGCCACAAATGCATAAACATTCAACTAAAATTACCGATATGAGTGCTTGATTCACAACTAAGACACAGGCAAAACTGTAATAACAAATGCACAGATCTAATATCACCCTGTGTCAGGAAAATAAAGGGCATAAGGGAGATATAGTATTATGGTTGAATATGTAAGCATGCCCTTATGGGGAAATTCAGTGTTATGCCTTCTCAGCAAGTTGAATAAATTATGATTATGTATTTATACTATAAGAAGTTTTAAAATGTCTCTGAATTATAAATTAGATATTATAATATCAGCTTTACTGGTCTATATGTTTATATTAGGAATCTAATCAAAATGAAGATACTAACATATAAGTGTTCACAAAATGTTAGTGGAGGTTATGTTTATGCCATTATATTTTATTATTTTTACATGCTACTCTTATTATACTTAAATATACTTAGGTAGCATATTCATTGTAGACACACACAGTGAAAGTACCTGTATATGCATATCAGTAAAACACAAAAACAAATCACGTCTTATTAAAAGAAAACATACACATACATTAAGGTGCCAATCTTTTAAATAAATAAACTACATAATTAAAATTAGGTAATCTGAGCTGGAATTGGATACTGCATATGTATGTCCATTACTGAGCTTTGACTTGACCCATAATTTGAAAAATGTCAGTTATATGAGGGTTAATATGGACACATCAATCACTGCAATAAGTAACTGATTAAATAGTACTGTTACTGACTTAAATGTGTTAGTTGTTGGTAAGAGGTTAGGATGATAAAGACTCCAAATGCAGAAATATACATCAGTATTTACAAATGTAATTTTTATTATTCGGAGTTTGTAGGCTAGCTTTTCTGTTAAGAACTGATGCCACACTTAAATTGAAGATTGATTTCTATGGATCAGCTTCCTCTTTAGTGAACTTCTGTTGTGACTTGCCCTACTTAAAACATAGTTGCTTTTTCCAATTGTGATATTAAATCTGTGGATAACTAAATCTGAGTTTGTCTTGGTATATAATGAAAAACTGACTATTCTGTGCTACATGCAACAGAATTTTTTTAAGCTTGATCAATGAGAAAATAGTAAAATAGTAGCACACTCTGTTCTTAGTCTGACCTAATTTTCAGCAACAGAATCTAGTTGCTAAGAAATGAAAGTGAAATATTAAAAATGTTTATGTGGCTGAAAGATTATCTCTTATATAATATCTCATATAAATTCTTCTTTTCCTTAAGAAACAAACCATACTCCCCTCATGACATAGGATTAAGAACGAGGTATGCTGCTCTTACTGGAAAAATATAAGTCCTATTCCTATTTCACATTGTTGCTTTACACAGAATAAATCACACCAAGCTCAGGCTACCTCCCGATACTTTTACAATGCTACTTTAGAAATACTATTCCTTGAAAATACCACCACTTAGAACCTAAGCCTCTGGAAAACACTATGTAAGGGAACAAATATTTCACTTTACATTTTGCATTACCACTCATGCAGGAGAGATTTCATAGGTGCTACCTTAATTGATTTTTATGTCTGTTAGCTGTTTGGGGGTTTTTAAAAAATATTTTTCAAATTAAAGAAATTCACTTTGGTTATCATGTTTGGGTGAATGGAAATCCTCTCTGGGACTAGCTCCCTTTAATGTATCCCTTCAGACCTGTTGCAGTACATGATGGAATACTTGAAAATCTGTACTTTGTTTTAGCAGTCTGCACAGCCACAGGGTCGTCCAGGTTCCGTTCCCAGGGTAGCTTCCCACATAACCACCGCAGCATGCAGTAGCCAAGGATTTCAAGGTCACTTCGTCTGGACAGGGCTATAGGAGTAAATATTAAGAGAAAAAGATGATGGATAAGCAAGTTTCGAGAAACAGAAATTGTTGAATGAACTGCTATTGATGAAATATGAAAAAGCCAAATGGGCAACGTGTTTTGTTTGTTCAGCTGGAGTAAAACTTAAACCCCCAGGACTTGGCTCCAGTCCACAGACATGCAGTGACTTGTTGCTGTTGAAAGTAAGGGTCAGTTTCCTTACCTCCTCCAACTTCATCCTTCCTTAGTCTGGCCTGTCACATGAACTTGATCTCCATGGCCTCTGACATGATCCAGACAACCCATAACCTGGCACCAACACTTTCTCAAAGAGCCAAGCAGTAAAACAAAGAAATAAATGTCTGCAGTTAAATTGCTAACATATGTTCCAGGAAGTCCATGGGGTCTGCATTGGTCATGCAGAGACCCTTTGAGTGCAGACTAAACATTGATGGCCTTTCCTGTTCTACTCACACCAGCAGAATTTGAAGTTGGAAGAATATGACAAAACTGCCATCTAGTGTGCAGTATTAAAACATGGTCTGCCTCAACATTTTTCAATTGCATGAAAGTATAGGATAAAATGTCTGTTTAGGGTACATGGTTTTAAAATTTTACCAATGTTATTTTTAGAAGCTTAAATTCTAGTCCTATATCCTGAAGAGGAAAGATAAAGGTACGGGAATCATATGCATTGCGGTGAGGCGGATATGGTAACGAGTAGATTTTTGAAGCCAGAGGCTTTTAGAATTTAATATAAAATGCCTTTTTGTTAAAAAATAAAAATACAGTAGAACAACATTTTTAGACCATTTAAATCATTCATACCAACTATTAAATGCTGTAACTAATTTCATTATAATTTTATAAATAAAGTGCCTCATTTCAAAAGATGGGTAATAAAATCCAAGAAACACAAATATAACTAATTAGCAAATAACTGAAATGATTAAAATATTAAAAAAAACAAAAGTCATTTTTATGCCATTCCTGTTATAAAATAGGTGGATATTTATAATTTTAGCTTTCCTTGAATGTTCGCCTCTGAAGGGATGTATTATCTCTTACGTGTAATGCATGACTGTTAAACCTGCTATAAATAGGTATCCTGCTTCATTACCTTTCATTAAAATCTGAAAAGTTACTCAGTAAACTTAGTTTAATCATTTAAAAAGTCATCTAAGAACAATGCTCCTAGCACATCATAACTACTTTTGATTGCCATGTATGTTATTATAAAAGCAAAAGACAATATAAACTCTTACACATATTCTGTCTTAACTGCTATTAAAGTATTGGATTATTAAAGCTCTTCAATCTAGCAGAATGCTACAGTCCCATGGGTGTCGTTTACTTTCTGCACAAGCTTCAACAGTGTCCTAATGCAAGACTTGGCTCTCCTATTAAAATAAAAACACAATCTCTACACGCTGTTTTGTAGTGATTTCTTCAATAATAAATCTCCCATTAATAATGGAATGGTTCCATTTGTACAGATGCGTTCCCAAGTCCCTTGTCCATTATGGCAATTCCTTATTACCACCACTTAAAAAAAACTCACAACCTCTAATTTTCAAAAAATGACATTCTGGCACCTATTTGGAAGACATAGGCTACACACACACAAGAGGCCTTTTGATGAAAAACAATCAGGATTAAAATGGAATGCACCTTCCTAGCCGTACCACCCTCCCACCCCAACTGATTAATTGACAAGAAGCTGTAAGCAACGATAAGTCAGTTAGACTTCAGAAGTCAATCTTTCATAAACTGGTCTTCATTTGAAATAGCCCTTGGGGAATTAACTTTATACCTCACTGTTACAGTTTATTAACTAATTAAAATACATTACCACATTTTTCAGTCTTTTACTTAGTTTCTTTTACTACACATATACATTAATAACTATAGTTAGGTGAGCTTCTTTACCACTGTATTTACTAAGTTCTACAAAAATGCCTATAATGTTAAGAAAAAAATCTTATTATCCCTCTTTCCTACCACTGAAGAGTGAAATGAAAGTAAAGTACACACTTCTGTTTGAAAGTCCCTTCCAGAGAAACAAATTGAAAAATTTGATGTGTTTTAATGACTTTAAAATCTCAGACACTACTGATGACTGTTGTTTCCATCTACTGGATAAACAAAAGTAATTTTGAACTATTAAATTCATTAAATATTCTATGCGACAATATTAGTATCTATATATGTGTATGTAATTAATACAGAGAGATGTTTAAAATACACTGGCAAATATATTGGTAACTTAGCACCTAATTTTTATGTTTATTAATTGGAGCATATAAATGATTTTGTTGCAAGTCTCTCAACTGCTCAGCAGCAATTACAAAAAGGCATAGGTAGAGATTTGAATTCTATTCCACTAGAAAACAGATTCCAGAAACAGCTGACACTAGAAAGCTTAGTTAAAATAAAAGCAATTGATGTAATTTATAGAGCTGCTACTATGCTACTATGCCAGGCACTCTAGCTGCTTTTATATAATCTCATTTAATCATCCTAATAATACTACAAGTATTATTAATCTGTTAAAAATAGGCAAGTAGAGGCTCAGAAAGGTTAAATAACTTCTTCATTATCACAGAGCAAAAACTGTCACTCTTAGTTGAAATTCAAGTCTTTCAGAATCCAAAGACATGCTCAGTCTCATAATTACTTAGCCAATGTACTAAGACTCTTTTCAAGCAACTATACTTTCAAGAGACTTTCTTTCAAACTTCTTCATTGTGATGAAAAAGGGATCTAGCTAAAACATTTAATTCATAAAGTGACAGATGTAAATCAAACTGATATGAGAACAATAGAGAAGTTAGCTTCAAGAACTGCTTATTCTAAAGACAAATGAGGGTAAATTTACCTGGGTGCAAAACACCAAATGGAATGAAAGAGGAATAAGGAGAAAAAAGTGTAAATGCTAATCAAAAATAGAGCCTTCCTGGTGGCGCAAGGGGCTAAGCACAGCACTATGAAGCTATCCATAGCCTCTGCAGCATGAGTTTGATCCCTGGCCAGCCCCCCTACTCGGTGTCTGGTGAATCCTCTCACCCCCACCACCCCCACCCCACCGCACCTATGGCTTGTACCCCAGTTCTTGTATGCATAAATAAATCTTTTAAAAAGCTAATCAAAAATAGATACCTATCTACCTAAAGTGGTTTTGTTTATTTTATTTCTTACAACACAGGAAATAATGAACTTGAAAACTTTTGCAGACAGGGTTCATTTAAAAGCCCAAAATATTAGTTTATATGCTCAGGAATGACAATAAAATGCTCATCAAATGAAAGAAATGGTGACTATGTGCAGAACAAATTTAAAGTTTATTTGTATTTTTTGGTAACATTCTTACTTTTTAATCTTTATTATATACGTTATTCAGTTTTTCTGTCAATTCAAATGTATAAAAAACCTAGAAAATTTTATGGTGGCCACTGCATTTTCCAAAATGATACTGGGAAAGTAGAATGCATTTTAAATAAAATATTAAACTTAGGTCTCCCTATTTCTTAAATTCAAAGTCTTAAATTTTTGTGAAACACTATTGTATGAGGCTTGGGAAAAGTTAGTCAACAAAGAAGGCATCGTATTTTTAAGCAACCAAATAGTTCAAGACTTACATCAAGTCATTAAAATTTATAACTAAATGTCAAAACTGGTTTATATAATATGGAAAAATACGGTCTTCATTATTGTTTATTATTACAACAACCAAAGACTATTTATAGAAGTCAAATTTACTTAAAAATAGAAATCAAGAGTATACAGAGCTTGTCAATGACTTGGTTTACCTTAATATTATAACTGAAAAAATGGATATCCTTTTTTAAAATAATGTTTAAGAAAATTATTAATGTGTAAGCCATGTCATTTCCACAAGTTTGGTAACATAAAAACATGTTTTCAGTTTATTTCACATAGTCTGAAAGTTGGAGTGCTAGATTACAGTGAAATGAAACCATGCAAGAAATAACACAATTTGGATTTCATATGCCAAAGCAATTGGCAAAAATAAGAAAGTATGTAATGTATCCCTCTCCCTTATACTGAATATATTACATAAACAAATGGATATTTAAAATGCAATTCAGATATATTTTATGGTCATCAATGATGTCAAATTAAAACAGGTATTATACACTCAATGCATAGGTCTGAAGTATTTAAAAAAGCTCAATATGTTAAATGCTGTATATCTCCAGAGAAATTAGGTATTGACTGCATGCCTCAGTGAGTAGAAAAATCTACAAAAATCCATACCACACATTGATCCAAATATTGCTTTTTAACATTACTAAGAATGTAACAAATTTTAAAATAGCATATTTGACACAGATATAATTCTCTGTAATTATCAGGCAACAAGCCCAAAAGATGTCAATGTTTATACATGCTAGCTTTTATGAAGAACAAAAAATTAATATCGAAGAAATAAGCCCAACATATATTACTCTAGTTTTACACTAATGAAACACTTCAGCTACTCAGAAAATACCTTTAGGTCACACAAGAGAATTGAGTTTGGAAGAATAACTGCAATTTTTAAAAAACATACAGATATAAAGATGTATGATAGTTCCAGGAATAGTTATTATTCATTCATCCATCTGTGCATCTGTCCATCCATATCTATATATCTTTACTCACGCTTTTTAGTTTGTAACAATACAAGTTACTATCCTTTTATATGACGTTGAACTAGAAAATGTTTGTGGCACCTTACCCAAGTTCCTTAATTATAAAAAACCACAGAAAAATAAACATTAGCTTTGGTTTCTGAAAAACCACTATAACAAATAGCAGAAACCAGACAGTCTGATCAGGTTAACAGCCTCTGTTAAGTGGCTAATTTATAAGTCCGTTTTACATTGAGTCCTGAACGTTTCCTGGTGCCTGACCAAACACAGATATACCTGTCATAGAGCAAATGTACTGCTGACAACTAGAGGTTCTATTTCACAGTGATAACTTGCTTTGCTTTTTATGTTTTCCTTTGCATTATCTTTCCCAGTATGTATTTGATCTCATAGCTGGACTACCACAGAAAAGATTTTTCTGAGATTAACTAGTGACTGTACGGAAAGTAAACACATGAATATCTATGAAACTGACCTACATTTACTCACAGGATTTATGACCCTGTTTATTTTGGTTTCTAGATATGACTAAATGATTATTTCACTTCTAATATCCTAAAATAAAATGTTTTATTTTGGAAGATCAAATGCAAAACATTAGAAATGAATAGTACACAATCATTTGAAGATATCAAGTCTTTCATTTTATATACCACACTAAAACTGTATATTAACATTTTGGCAAAAATATTTATGTGTACATGTATCTGTATATGTATGCATGTGAACACAAATGCATGTGTGCATGTTTATGTACATGGATGTATGTATATCTATATGTAGATATAAATATGCATAGGTATTTGTTTAAGTGCTATTTTAAGTGCAGTAATGGAATCTACAGTTTGTAGGAATCCTGTGAAACCTATGATAAAAATGAATATTCATGACAGTATATAACTTTCCTTCAAGTACCAAAATCAAGTAGTTAGGTTTTCCATTGAATAGTACTCCCAGGTAGGTATAATCTTTCTACCAAATCATTACTTAATTCAATCTTCTCCTCAAAGACCTAGCATGGAAAAATCTACCCAACTGATCCACAAGTATTCACGGAGAAAAAAAACTTAGATGTTCTATAGAAAAAAGGTGTGTGTTCAGCATTTCCATAAAGTTAGGACAATGAAAACACAGCTTTAACCTTTGGGGAATTAAACCTTCAGAATTATCCAAGTCCAAACAAACACTCACCAGACCAACATATAACGATCTCTACTTCCCATTCCAGAACCACAGAGATTACTTAGCTATTTTAGTAATCAAAACTAGAGCAGATCAGTATTAGAGTTAATATTTGAAGTGTGGAACCGTAAGTTAATATCATTATTAAGATAACTGGACCACTGCTTAAGAATCTGTATGATGAATTTCCAGTCATACCACTATCAAAAAAGTAATGTGGGGTTTCTAAAAGTTCTTTACACTAATAAATCTGTAGAATGTGAAGAACAAAACTTACTGAGAGTGAAAGAACTTTAAATTGAAAAAAGAAAACCATTACCTGAACATCTGACTCTTAACATTTCTTAGTTAAAGTTGTTTCCCATTTATATCTTTAAATGATCACTGATTTATCAACAATGTAAATGGTAAACAATTATACAATATTACTAAGTTTCTAAATGATCATTACTTTTCTTACCAAACTATCCTTCAAAAGTAATGTATAATGTATAATGTATAATTTTCTTTTAATTCCTATCACACCAAATTTAACCCATGATTCTTCCTGAGAGAAGACACTCAACCGACAGGCTTTGTTTCCCTTTTGCACTGGCCTACCTTAAACTAGTGTGGGTTTTAATTGCTCTGGAAAATGATCAAGATCTCCTACATTACATGGTCAATGGTCCTTTTAATAGAAAAGGCAATAATATACACTTGTTTGCACCAACTAAAACCTGTTAGAAAGTATCAGTTTAGGGTAACAGTTCAACAGTTATTAACAAGTGCAAACGTCTAATTGTCTTTTAATAAAAATGTGGTCCTTTAAAAGCTGTTTAAAATTATTTGCATGATTTAGCATATTTGAACATACTTTTATAAACAAAGTTTACAAAGAATATTATTTTGAAAGCCAAACTTTTTCAATAATCGCCATTTTTTCACTAGCATAACATTAGAATTGACTTTTTGTCTTGCTGACAGAGCAACTAAGAAAGTACAGTTGCATTGACCATATTGATTGTGAACAAAGCAACCATCAGTGGGACTCTGCACCATATATTTTCAATATTGACCTCCCACTTCCTTTTCCATGGCTTTCTGGGTCGGCTATTGGATTTGGACTGCAGTGTAATAAACAGCTAAGGTTTAATTAATGGTAAATGAATACAAGACATAGGTTATGACTTTAACTAATTAGGGAATTGTTGAATTAAGTCTGCCTTGGAATGCAAGGCAGTACAATCAATATCCAATAAAAGGACTATGTATGTAATTTACCTGCAAATGTGTTTCCAATACCATCAAAGTGAGTTTAAGTAAGTAAGATATATGAAAGGCAACTAGGAGAGATTTCCACAAGTTAACATTTTATAGTTTCAAAAAATATTTCCTTTTTTGTTGAGAGATGGTATCTTCAAAAGCTCTGAGAAGGGCACAATTAAAAACAAGAATAATTGTTCACATGTGTACCTTTATCAAATTAGTGATATTCACTACAGCATAAAAATTCAGTTGCTGTCCTCCAAGTTTAACCTACACAGAGTAATAATTAACTGCTCAAAATGAGCATCAAGTTATACTTAGTTGATGCCCTTTTGCTCCTTTTTTTATTTGGCACAGTCTACATCTCCTTCCCCTGCTAGAGAAGATATTCACTGGTGTACTGTTATCCATTTCGTCTGGTAAAAACCTCACCAAAATTCTCACTTTCAAACTGACTATGCAGAGGTCATTTCATGAAGCCTAGTTACTCTTTAATCATTTTTTCTGAAATAAAAATAAGAATAAAGAAACCTACCTACTCCCCTGTGGGCATCCAAGCTGGTAAACTCTAATGTCCCATTATGGCCTTTCCTAGGATTTTCTTGATACTGTTTGTGGTTCCCATTGGGACAATATCTGTAGGAAAGCCCATAATCTGCAAGAAAAACCTAGAAGACATGAACAGACAAATGAATAATGCTTGTGTCCTCTAAAAACATAACCTTTATAATTAAGTCTTAAGAAACTGATAGGTTAAGAACAGCCTCCGATCTACATTTCATTAAACCAAATGGTGCCTTAGGATAAAACATACACAACTGGGGACCATAACAACTAAGTTTCTCCAACTTAAATCCTTACTTCATCATAGGCATATATTCTTTTGGAGTTGACAAAGATTTTTTTACTCTTTTTACAGCAGAATTCTTGCTTCAAAATTCCCTTCCCTCCAGGTGGGCATCTAGACATCATAAACCACAATACGTGGTCTTTTTTATCTGTATTTAAACAGCTTATGACACTGTCTTTTCCTGTAAAACCCCTCCCTTGAACTTAAAACTATTGCAAGTAGAGGGTCTTCCTGGTGGCGCAGGCGGTTGAGCACCACACTGTGAAGCTAGCCATAGCCTCTGCAGCGCGGGTTCAATCCCGGCCAGCCAGTGAGAATCCTGTCTCTTGTCTCGCCTGCTGCTCTTCTCAGCAGCATATTTCATCAGTCTGCCTGTTCTGTTCCCAGCTCTGTCTCCGGTGAATCCTTTCACCCTCCCGTGCATCTGGCCTGTACCCTGGTTCTTGTATGAAAATAAATAAATCTTAAAAAAAAAAAAAATGCTGCAAGGAGAAAGGGGAGGTAAGAGCAAACAACCTAAAAATATAAACCTCAGGCTTTAGGAGTCTCCATTAATAGGAAGTATAAAAACAGTGAACAGATTGTAAGAGGTAATGACTCTTAAATATTATTTTGTCTACATTTAAGAATGGAACAAAAAGAGGTACTTTTGGACTTTCAGACCTGATCCATATCACTGTCATCTTTATAAGTCAGTCAGAATTGTAAGCAGGGTCTTTAAACAGAATATATATTGTAAAAAGTCAGATAGCAATTCACGTGAATTTTTCTCAGATTGCTTTTGGAGAGAGAAAGAAGTGGGGAGAAGTAGTTTCACAGATGTAGCATACACCGAACAGGGATTTATTATGTGTAGACATTTGTTCTGACATGTAGTCAGAATACAGCCATTCCAAACTATATGTTAGCATGCTCCCCCCATAAAAGCTGTTTCATATTTTAAAATGTATTGTTTCACATGTATTTCTTTAAAATTTAGGATATGAGACATTTTAGGATGTAGCTTTGATAAGTGTTATATTACAATTTACATTTTAAAGCATAGTGTCTATTAAAAGAAAATTGGTTAAATTTTTTTTTAAAGATTTATTTATTCATTTACATAGGAACCGGGGTACAGGCCAGATGCGCAGGAGGGTGAGAGGATTCACCAGAGACAGAGCAGGGAACAGAACAGGCAGACTGACTGAAATACACTGCTGAGGGGAGCAGCGGATGCGACAGGAGAGGTCTATCGCACTATGTGGGATACTTGCCAGCCGGCCGGCCAGGATCAGCGCTGCAGAGGCTGCGGACAGCTTCACAGCGCTGCACTCAATTGCCCACGCCACCAGGGGAGGCCCTAAAATTGGTAAACTTTTAATATAAGTATTTTTTATATAATTTAAATAGGAGATATTAAGAGCTTTCTTAAGAGTTTTCTTCATTTGTTGGAGAACATAGTTTGCTAAAATGTCTGAAAACATGATATTTCCGTTTGTCTCTCTTACCCACATGCTATTTCTCAACATGGTCTCATAAGTAACAGGTATCTCTGCCCCAGGATCAAATATACATCTGACACTGAACCGGTTGCCTGCTATGTCTATTTATGATGCCTTTTGTCTTCATTTCAAAAATTAAATAGATTAGGTAACCTCACTATGTACAAATTGGTAACTCAGCAAACAAATGTATTTTAAATATAAGCTTACTATTTTCATTTTTTAATAAGCTAGCTAATAAGAAGCTTTTCTAGCCAAAAAATAAGAATTGATATTCACAGTGTACTTAATATGCACCAGACAGTAACTCATGCCATGCTCACAGATATCCTGTAGATAGGTATCTTTTCTCCATTTTACTCATAAGTAAAAGGAAGCTTAGTGAGGTTATATACTTGTAGAGTAAAATGGAGCCCGGATTCTGTAGTTCTGACTTTAGGGTTTTCACTCTTGGTCACTGTCAAAGGGAAACTGCACTGGACAAGTTAAACTTACACAAATTAAACTTGAGAAGGAAGACTTTATTCAAGGGTATATTGCACTAGGGGACAGAAATTATTATTATAGGATAAAAAGACTGAATTCAACACCATTGAAAGAAAAGGCAGGTAAGTTTTTAAGTGCTGGAATTGAGCTAATGAAAAAATACTGGCGGATGTTATGGGAAGGCTTGTGATTGTGACTACAGTCATCTAGGTTCCTTCCCATTCTCAGAGACTGGGGATGGCAGGGGGAGGGAAGGGGAGGGGAACACAATCTTTCTTAATAATTGCATTTTGAAAGAATGACTCCCATGTCAGTCCATGAACATTTCCAAGGTCCTTGAAAAAGATAATCCAGGATTTTAAAACTGGCAATATTTGCCTCTCAAATGGGCAGAGAAAGAATATATAATATCAAGTTTCCTACTACTGAATTTGCACTTACAGTGATTTTTTTTTGTTGTTATTTGAGTTATACAGTTAGGTTGCTAATGGCTTTCTTATTTCTTAATGTAGGTATTTATAACCATAAATACAATGTGCTTCAGTTTTAGTTGTCTCAAGGTACTTTTTTATTAGATTTTTAATTTTTTTTGGTATTTTCTTTTACCCATTGTTCATATTAATCTCCACCATTTATGAATTTTTCAGCACCCCTCATGTAATTTATTTATAATTTCATGTCATGGTAGCTGGAAAAGACTGTAGATATGATTTCAATCTTCTTAAATTTTAGACTTGTTCTATGGTGTAACATATAATCTTAAGAATTTTATATGTGTGCATGAGAAGAATGTGTATTATGTGTATTAGATGGAATGTTTTATATATATATCTCTAAGGTTTATCTGGTATACTAAAAGTCCAGTGTTTCCTCATTGATTTTCTCTGATTGTTCTACCCATTATTGAAAGTGGTACTGAAGTCCCCTACTATTATTATATTGCTGTCTATTTCTCCCTTCAGATCTGTTTATAAGCTTTACATATTAGGTGCTCTGATAATGGGTGCAAAATGGGTGGTCTTAATGAAAGTTGTGCATAGAATTCAAATTATCATGAAGGCTACTAAAAAATACTACTATATATGTAATATGTATGTCTATTCTATGAAATTTGAATAAATCTTCTGAAATTTATTCTCATAAAACTTTTCCCACTGGCATCTATCATTATGTCTTTACAATATAAATATAAATTGTGGTACACTACTGAAGAAATTTTGGAGTAAGTACACTTGATAGGAAGTGACTTGATATAAGAGGAAGTCAATAATTTCCCAAGCAATCAAAATGTGGATAAATTGACTCAAATTAGTTCAAATGAGATTTTCTACCAAGATAATGTAGTATAAATACATTATTTTGTTCAGAATTTTGCTAGAACAATTCAAAGAGGAAAAGGACTGAGAAGTGTTATAAAATAAGGGAGGAACAGAAGTAATATTTCTTGAGATTTTATTATGTGATAATCTCTAGGCAAAGTATTTTTCATAATTTTTTCTTTAAATCCAGGCAATCACCCAGCCTGGCATCATTGGTCTCATTTTACATATGAGGAAGTTGAGTATCCCACTACTTAAATAATTTGCCCAAGTCACAGAGCTGTGTGTAAAGGATGGAAGGAGTACTCAAACCATTCCAATAGGATGTCAAAGTTCACTTTCTTTTTTAAAAAACACAATTTAGAATTTAGGTTCCATCCACTTCTGAAATTTTGTTCAAGTCAAAAAACAAATTTAAATAGAATTCAATCTAGAGAAGGGTTTGCAATATAGTTTCTCATTTTGTATGTCCTCAAGCTAAGATTTTTTTTTTACGTTTCTTACAGGACTGTTAAAAAAAGGGGGTGGGGTGGAAGAAAAAGAATGTATAATAGAGACCCACATGAGCCCTGCAGAAGTTCAAAAAGCCAAAGATACTTACTATTGGAATCCTTACAGAAAAACTTGCCTTCCCCTAATATAAAGTAAAACTTGGCTCCAGTTTTTTTTTTAATATTATTAAAATTTCCCTGTAAGTGTAACTATGGATAATATCCCTGGTTTTAGACTAGAGAAGGAAACACATGCTCACCAAGATCAGGTAGTGGGTGATTATCTTCATTGTAATGAGACAAGCCATAGGAATATTTAAATATCTAGCTCCCTAATGCATTTTAAATGACTTTATTTTTATGTAACTTTTCTGAATTTAGTCACCATTTCATTTCTCCATCTGTAAAGAACAGCCTTGCCTATTTTCATTCACTTTAATCCCAGACACAGGGTATTGCCACTCACATTTCCACATGATACTCATTTTCTTCTCACCTTTCTTGGATATGTGGTACTTTTTTTTTTTTTTACACCTTTGTGAGGTAGATAGGAAAAATAGGTGTCATTATCCATATTTAACCGTGAAAAAAGTGATAAATCTCACACTCAAATAATGTAAGTCACCCAACACTAAATTCAGACTCTATAAAGGATTTTCTTTTTTCAGTAACTTTCTCAGTACCCCAAAAACACCTAGTAAAGTAATTATTTCATGGATTTTCAATTTTAATATTTTACTGAAAAAGTAGTGTGGCTGGGCCTCCCCTGGTGATGCAGCAGTTGAGTTCTGGCAGCCTCTGCAGCCCAGGTTCAATCCCCAGCCGCCGGCGAGGGTCCCACATGGCGCAACAGATCTCTCCTGCAGTGCCCGCTGCTCCCCTCAGCAGTGTATTTCATCAGTCTGCCTGTTCTGTTCCCCACTCTGGCTCTGGTGAATTCTCTCACCCTCCCGCGCTTCTGACTGTACCCAGTGCTTGTATAAATAAACAAATAAATCTTAAAAAAAAAAAAAAGTAGTGTGGCAGCCACTGAAATGT